CTTTCACAGCTGAAATGTCTACATTCTGAGTGTGAGGGTGGAGGGTGGGGTGGGAACTGGGTGGAGGGGGGTTATGTTGGGAAAAAAGAGTAACTAATGTAATAATCTGAACAATAAAGATTTAATTTAAAAAAAAGAAAGACAGACAAAGATAGATTAAAAATTTAGCTCAATTTCTTTTACATCCAGAGGAAAAGAAAATGAGGTCAGAAAAAAATATCTCTATTGAAGAAAATTAATGTAGAACAATGATTTCTGTGAAAATAAAGCATCAAAGAGATAAAGGTAAACATCTTAGAAAAGAAAGTGGGAAAAGGAGAAACTATGATCTGGAAGATACTATTAGATATACTGTTTGTATTAGGCACCTTTGTTCATTTCTTTTATACTAGGGGCCCAGTGAATGAAATCATCTACCACTAGGCTGTGGTGGACATAGGGGTGGGTCACAGCCCATTCTCTGCACCCCTGCCAGGCCCCTCCCACCACAGCTCCTGTTCCTGTGTCTGTTGGTAGTCTCACTGCCATCACCACTGCTCCCACACGCTGAAGGTGCCAACCCCACTAGCACCCATTGATGGCGCAGAACAATTGGGGCTGGCATCAGCGGTGATTCAAGCAGGGCCAGTGCCATCAGTGGGTGTGAGCTGTGGCTCCAAGGCCAGTTACAGGTGTGAGCAGGGCCAGCACCAGCAGTGGATGTGGCGGCAGCTCTGGCGCCAGCAGCGGGTGCAAGAAGCAGCTGCTGACCCCAATTTCCCCTCAGGAGCAGGGGGATGTGGAGAAGCCTTGAGGGGCAATCAGGGCCTGCAGCCTCTGCTTTCATCTGCTGAAGGTGCCGAGCCATCGGGGCTGGTGCCAGGTCGCGGCAACGTGTGTGAGCGATGGCTTCAGCACCATCAGTGGGTGTGAGTGGGGCTGGCACCACAGCAGATGTGAGTGAAGGGCGGGACTGTGGCACACAAGATCAAAGAAGTTTCAGGTACCACCAGAGGCTTGCCCCAATGACAGCAATAGTGGCCAGCCTTGGTCTGGAGCCCCCGCTCACATGCTCCACCATCCTGCCTTGGCCAACATCTGCCATGTTCTCTGCTCTGCCACCTACTGCCAACACCTGCCATGTTCCGCATGCGCTCCCTGGCGGTCAACACACATCACAGTGACCAGTTGTTTGGTTGTACTGCTGTTCGGTCTATTTCCATATTAGGGTTTTATATATATAGATAGGCAATGCAATAGGACATTTATTTCTTTGAGAAAAAAATAAGCCTGTGGACCATAACCATGAAGCCTTTTTTCACCTGTTGGTTCCGTAAAGTGTAGATGAAAGGGTTCAAAAGTGGCGTGACTGAAGTATTGAGCACAGAAATTCCCTTGGAAAAAGATACCTTTTGTTTGACTGACGGGTTAACATACATGAAAATACAGCTGCCATAGGAAAGGGATATCACAATCATGTGCGAAGAACATGTCGAAAAAGCTTTTTTCCTCTGACTAGTTGAAGGGAATTTTAAAATGGTCAAGGCAATAAAGGTATATGATATTATCACCATTATCAACGTGATCAAAAGTGTCACCAAAGCAGAGATGAATCCCATCAGCTCAAGAGTCCGTGTGTCTGTGCAGGAGATCTGCATAAGAGGAGTAGTGTCACAGTAGAAATGCTCAATAATATTGGAGGCACAGAAGTCAAGGTCCTGGCCCAAGATGATTGGTGGAAAGATGACAAAAAAACCAGCCAGCCAACAGCTGAGGACAAGCTGTGTGCAGATTTTATTTTTCATGATGACTGCCTGTTGCCACAGTAAGCAAAAATTTAGGAATGCATGTGCTAGTATAGGAAATTTCTAAAAAGGAAAAGTTCCGAAGGAAAAAATACATGGGGCTCTTGAGGTGAATATCCAGCAGGGTGAGTGTGATGATGATCAGGTTGCCAGTGATGCTTAGAATGTAAATGAGAAGCAGGAAGATGAATAACACCACTTTCCATTGTGGGTCATCAGTCAAACCTGCTAGGATAAACACTGTCACTCTCGTATGATTTCCCATTGCTATACTTGCTATATCTGAATAGAAAAAAAGAAGAAAGATGATTCCAATGGAAAAATAACCATGATAATTAATGTTGAAAGTAAAGTTAGCAAAGTGATGTTTCAGATAAAAAAAATACATTGCTCTTTTATGTTTTCAATATGGGTTTTTTGAGAGGAAAAAATAGTTAAAAATGTAGTGGGAAATTGTACTAGACAATAACCTATATAGCAATAGTAATTGGTGATTGTTGTTATGTGGGTAAGTTAGAGGGATTAGAGAGATTTTCAAAGCATAGGAAAATGTTTTTTTTCTCTTGTTAATATTCAAGAGTCAGGGTGGCATGCCATTTCCTTCTGAATAAAGAAGTTTTTATCCTAGAACCAAAATGATGTCACTAGAAGCTCATAATTTGCCCCCCCCACACACACACGTACCCCAAACCTAGCCATCATCAATAAACAAGGCTAGTATACATTTACTATTTTACTCAACTGAGCAAATTCAAATGCCTGATTCTTGTCTCATTTATTTTCATGGTTAATGAGATCCAATTCCAGGTAAGTGATTAGGAGGTATTCGGGGGAAAAAAATCTCTTCTCAATGGAATTTCCATCCCCTCAATCTCTATTGTAACCCAGCACTTACCAATTAGTACCTTAATTAGTACCTTGACAAAATCAGCAAGCACAGTCTGGTAATGTCAGTCTGTGTAAGAAAAAACTGCAGTTTTGTGAGAATAAGGAATATAAAAGCTGAGAGAAATAGCCCAGGCTGGGTGGGTCAGTTGGTTAGAGTGTTATCTTAATACACCAAGGTTGAGGGTTCAGTCCCCAGTCAGGGCACATAGAAGAATTAACCAAGGAATGCATAAGTTAGTGGAACAACAAATAGATGATTCTTTCTCTCAAAATAATTTTTAAAAATTTCATTAAAAAAGAAGCAGAGAGAAGTATATAAATATGGATTCATGAAATCATATGAGAGGAAAGGAGTAAAGAGAAAGATAAGGACAAAGTTAAAGCTTTATGGAAGCCTAGAAAAGTAAGAAGCGTTTTTTTTTTCTTTTTTAAATATATTTTTCTTTATTTTAGAGAGGAAGGGAGAGGGAGAGAGTAAGAAGATTGAAAATATGTAAATTAGTAAGAAAAAATTGTAGAGAAACTAGTTACCAATGCAGCTTTTTCCATCTGCTTGCCTTTTTTATACTTACCTTTTTGTTCTCTGTCTAAAATACAGACTGAAACATAAACAGTTTTGAGGTCATCATAGCCTAAAAGAGAAGAGAATTATTTGGAAAATTTCAAACACATAATAAATCACAGAATAGTGTGACACAAATTTTAAGAGGTATATATTTTCTTGTCATAAGACTATTCAAATGTTTGCAAACACACAGTTAAAGAAATACCTATAGATAGCTAGTC